AATATAATTAAGTATATTTTAAATATATTTTAAATATATTTTAATCATATTTCAATGATATTTTAATTATATTTTAAATATTTTTTAAACATGTGTATTTCTTATAGAGCAATAGCACAACAAAAGATAAAGGCAATATAGTAGTAGTTAATGATGAAAATAACAACAGTAGTGAATAATGAAAATGACAATAGCAATAAGCAATAAATTTGTAATTTGCAAAGAAATAAATAATAAAAAATATTTAACAATAATAATATAATTAAAAAAAATTTTATAGTAGTGATACTAGTGATACTGACTAATAACAAAAATACAGTAGAAGGTAAATGGTAATAAAGATAAATAATGAAAAGAAAACAAAAGTAAAATTGATATTGGAAAAAGTAGTAGTTGTGAATAATATATTGTTTATTTTTTTAATATTAAACTTGTAATAATTTAATTGGCTAAAGGTCAGCCATATAATTGTATATCTATCACATAATTACATGTAATAAATATTACTTTAGATGATCCTATTATATGGTATAATAAATTTTAATATAATGATCAACTATTATACCATATAATAACTGTATAATAATTATATAAAAATATATATATATATCATGTAATGTAAAATTATCAACGATAAGATTTTATTTATAAAATTTATATTATTTACATATTTTATTTGTTATAATTATTATTTAAATCATCTATCAAATCTATTAAATTAATATTTTCTGAAATAAGATCAAAATCTTGTAAAATATTATCATCACCTTTATTAATTTCTTTATTAATATCAATCTCTTCTTCAATACTTTCATTATTTTTATTACCAATTTTAATATTAATTTTATTTAACTTATCTAATTTCTTATTATCATGAATTTTAAGATTTGTATAGATATAAACAAGTTTTTTAACATGATCATTGTATAAATAATTATGAATTTTGTTATGAATAAATTCAAAAGTAGAAAAATTATATTCAGAAGTAGTTGATGATGTAAGAATTGAAAGAATCTTAATAATTATAAGTTGAAGTTTACTATTTGACTATAATTTCCATCACATTGATGGAATAAGTATAAAAGCTAATTCTCAAATTATATTATTATTATATGGTAAATTCTTATTTCGAAATTTAACCAATTCTACAAATAGTTTTATAGAATCTTTATGATTAAATTAACTATTACATATGATGTAAATTTATTATATCCTGTCGCTTCCATATTAAGTGTCTTACTTTCTTTTAAAAAATATAGATTAAGTATATATGCAACTACCATAGTTTTATGGTAAGTATATTTCCACTATTCTTTAATAAGTTTTTGTATTTGATCATTAAAATCATATAGAATTTCTTGAATTGTTCTAATAATTTTTTTAAAATTAGAGTAAACTAACAAAAGAGTAGATATATCTAATTCAATAACTTTAATGTAATAACTATTGATTATAAAATATTTATTACCAATTCTAATTTTTTTCAAAAATTTTCTTTAAGAATACAGGCTTTTAAATTATAATCCATATTTTGTCAAATTTTTAAATTCATTAATATTTGTTCTATAGTAATTCTTGATCTTTGTAATAATTAAAGACATTTAAGATGTGTTATTTATCATATAAGAATTGGTAAAACTAATAAAATTTCTTTATCATAATTTTCACATTGAATATATTTAAATTTTGTTATTGATTATATATGTGATTTAAAATATTTGGTAATATTTTTTATATCATCTATTACAGATTTCATTTCATTAATTTTTATAATATCCTTGATTAAAAGATTCATAATATAAGAAATACAACCAAAATAAATTATATTGGAATATTTCTATTCTATAATTTACCATGCTGTTTTCATTACATTAGCTGTATTTGTGATAATAGCTGAAAACTTTTTAATATCAATATTTTTATTGTTGAATTATTTTACTTATAATTCATTCAGTTGTACGTGATTTTTCTTCTAAATATATAATATCAAAAAAAATTATTTGAAAGTACAAACTATGAAATTTTATATCAATTCTTGATTAATATTTAACCAGTCATCAGAAAATTTCTTTATCAGATTCTTCTTTTACTTTTTCAAAAATCTTGTTTAATAATTTAGTTACAAGTTTTCTTCTATTAGATAATTTGAAAGAAGGACAAATGCTTTGAAAAAAATTAGTTAAATACAAAATTTCAGTAAAAATAAAAAATATTCCTATTGCAAATATCATTTTTGCAAATATAAATTCAAGTTTTTCTTGTAATTTTTTTTTTTTGACTTTGATTAATTGTAGATATAGACATACTGATTTCATTTAATTGTTCATTTGATTGTTCATTGTTAAAAAAATGGATTTGTCCTTTTCTTTAATTTTGTATTATCAGATATTTCTTTACAGTCTTTATCAAGATAGACTTACATTCAAGTGACAATTCTACAATTAAAAATTTTAAAACAGTAATTACATTTAATACAAGGATGTGGTTTATTACTTCCATCATTTTCATTTACAAGTACAGTTCATGAACATTCAATAATTAATACATTTTTATTGGCTAATATATTATATTCTTATTGGATGATCTATATTATCAATTATATCAATAATTATAATTATATGATATCAATTATATCAGATTTATTATACTATAGTAAAATAACCCCATGTATTGTTCATGAAACTATCTTCTTTTTTTCACACAATGTCAAGTTCTAAATGCAAGATACATTGTTACAGAATGAAAATATAATAATAATATAATATTAAAAACACCTGCAATAATTAATAATAACCTTTAAAATAATATT